GGTATGGGTATGTGAACTATTCTGTGTATGTGAGGAGAGAGAGAGAGAGAGAGAGAGAGAGAGAGAGAGAGAGAAAGGAGAGAGGAGAGGAGAGAGAGAGAGAGAGAGAGAGAGACAGAGACAGAGACCAGAGAGAAAAGAGACAAAAAACAAAAAACACAGAAAGACAGAGAAAGAGAGCGAGCCGAGAGGAAAAGAGGAGAAACGAGCAGATTAAAGAGAAACGAGCCATCGCCAAGGGAATGGCGCCTTTGCGAGGAAATGAAGTGGTAACCTGAGAGAACCTTCATTATAAAGCATAATATGATGGCGTGTGGAGAGGGGAAGGTGGGAGGGGGGGAGTGGGGAGTGGGAGGGAGGGGGAGGGAGGGGTGTGGAGATGAGGATGGGAGGAGGGAGGGGCGTATGGAGATGAGGGGAAGAGGAGGGGAAGGAAGGGAAAGGGGCAGGGAGGAGGGGGGGGGGGGTTGGGATGAGGGGATGGGGAGGAGGGAGGGACGTGTGGAGATGAGGGAAGAGGGAGGGGGATGGGGAGGGGAGGAGGGAGGAAGGGCAGGTGGAGGGAGGAAGGGGAAGGGGGTCTCTTCGTGCTCGAGGAGAGACACTAGGGGTGAAGTCTGTACTGAAGCAAGAAAAGTAAGGGGAGAAGAAGAGAGAGGTAGATGAGGGAGGGGAAGGGAGAGGGAAAGGGTAAGGAATAAGGAGAGTAAAGTGAGGTGTGGTGATGGTAGAGTGAGGGAGAGGAGAAGGAGAAGGAGAGGGAGAGAGAGGGAAGGAGGAGAGAAAGATGGTAAGGAGAGAGGGAGTAGAAGGGAGAGAAGGATGAGGAAGGGGAGAGAAAGGAGGAGAAAGGATGTAGGGAGAGAGGAGGATAGAGAGGAGAGGAAAGAGAAAGAGAGAAAGGGAAAGAGAGAGAGAGAGGAAGAGAAAAGAGAGAAAGAGAGAGAGTGAGGAAAGAGAAGAGAGGGAAGAGAAGAAGAGAAAAGAGAGAGAGAAAGGGAAAGAGAAGAAAAAAAGAGAAATAGAGAGAGAGAAGAGAGAGAGAGGAGAGAGAGAGAGAGAAGAGAGAGAGAGAGAGAAGAGAAAGAGAGAAGGAGAAGAGACGAGATAGAAGCAAAGAAAGAGAAGAGAAGAAAAGGACGAGATAGACTAGCTGTATAGCACCAGACCATATATTTTTCTGCCTCAGTCTTTTACTAATACAAAGCATAAAAAGCATCATACTGGATCAAGGATGCAGTACATTCCAGTACCACGTCGTGACAAGACAATCATTTTGTAAACTGTAGGCTGAGGAGAATCTTCACTGTGTTCTTCACTCTTAGGTTTTGGAAAATCTGAAGTGATATTCCGAGGTCGTTCATATTTCATAATCTGTTGGTATGCTAATATATCTCCGTTATATATATATATATATATATATATATATATATATTATAATATATGTGTGTGTGTTGTGTGTTGTGTGTGGTGTGTGTGTGTGTGTGTGTGGTGTGTTATTCATAATAAATATATTATTATATATGATATATATATGTATATATATATATATAATATATATATATATATATATATATTATATATTATATATGTGTGTGTGTGTGTGTGTGGTGTTGTGTGTGTGTGTGTGTGTGTGTGTGTCCTGTCTGTGTCTGTCTGTAATGATTAATTGTTTATGTTTAAATCCTAGGTAAAAGAGTGTATATTCAGCGAAATCCAGCAGTAATAAAATATAATAAAACAGTAAATTATAGCCCTCGTTTCCCCGAAATAGAACTTTCATCGGCAGCGAATGACTTCCATAGGTACACATGTCAAGTTTATTACTATAATCATTATTATTATTACTATAATCATTATTATTTATTACTAATCATTTATTTATAGGATTCGCTCGGAATGCTTTTTCCCGATAGCCAGGCGATAATTTCGGTATCTTTACGTTATTCGTCCAGAGAGCAAAAGCTTTACGACACGATGGCACACGCCGTTGGGAAAACCTGATGATGACGCTTCGACTAGTGTTTAGGGAAGGGAGGCCGGTAGTAGTGGAGGAGGAGAAAGGAAGGGGAGGGAGGGAGGGAGAGGAGGGAGGGAGAGGAGGAAGAGAGAGAGGAGAGGGGAGGGGAAAGAAGGAGGGAGGGAGAGAGAGGAGAGGGAAGAAAGAGAAAGGAAGGAAAGAAAGAAAGAGAGGAGAGAAAAGAGAAAGAGAAGAAGAGAGAAAAAAAAAATCTTGCTTGTTCTCAATGCGTTCGATTTACGATTTTACGATACGAGAGCGAATGCAGAAGGGGAAGGCGTGCCAGAAATATCCACAGGGGAGGAGGGAGGGGAGTGGACGCTAATACATAGCATTATGCGCCGCCGCGACTGTGCTTCCTCTCGGCGTCCCAATGTCGCGTCTTCTTGCGTCCTTGAACCGTTTAGCTCGATACAGTACATACGCCCTCCCCTCCCCTCCCCTCCCTCTCATCCCATCCCATCCTTCCCTCCCCCCCCTCCTCCCCTCCCCTTCCCCTCCCCTCCCCTCCCCTCCATCCATCCCATCTCATCCATCCCATCCCATCCCCTCCTCCTCCCTCCCCCCTATCCCATCCCCTCTCTTTTTCCTCCCCTCTTCTCTTTCCAATCCCTTCCCCTCTTTCCCCTCCCATCTTATCCACTCCCCTCCCTTCCCATCCCATCCCATCCCCCCCTCCCCTCCCCTCCTATCTCATCCTTCTCTTTTCCTCCTCTCTTCTCTTTTCCAATCCCTTCCCCTCTTTCCCCTCCCATCTTATCCACCCCCTCCCCCCCTTCCCTCCCCTCCCCTCTCATCCCATCCATCCTATCCCCTCCCCTCTTTTCGCCTCCCCTCCCCTATCCCCTCCTATCCCCCCCCTCCCATCCATCCCCTTCCCTCCCCTTCCCTCCCCTCCCCTCCCTCCTATCCCCTCCCCTCCCCTCCCCATGTGTTAATGTGTTAATGTTATTGTGGATCGGCGCATTTATCTCTGACTCTCACTGGCTTATCTTTTTTCCCCTCGTTCAATACGATTTACTTGCTATATATTTATATAATGATAACTTCTAGTAATGTTATGTTTATGATGATGACTTCCGGTAATCGTAGTTTTAATAAATTATCATTGCCGTTGTTATTAAATTCAGTGGGTTTACTGTTACCTGTTATTATTATTGTTGTTATTTACTGGCTGTTGTTGATAATTCTGTGTTATTTTAATTGTTATTGGTTGAATTTGTAGTATCTGTTGTGGTTATTATTGTTGATATTGATATTATTGTTAATGCTATTGCTTTGTTGTTGCTGTTACTGTTTTATTATTATCACTGTGATAATTATTTCTATCATGATCATCACCATTGTTGTTGCTGTTACAAGTATTTTTAATTTATTTGTCCATTTAGGATAGTGTTATTACTTATTGATTATGATACTTGGTAACTAAGTATTTTATCAAGCACAAGCCACAGTTATAGGTTCATTCGTGCTTGTAGTTTCTTTATTAATGCCCGATATTGTAGCGTATTTTTTCAATGATTGATGTATTTGCTTGTAACCATGTGAGTTTAATTTCGCTCTCGCTGTTAGCTCTCGCTGCCAAGGTTATTGATTTGCAATACGCGTTGATCCTGTTGATTGATCAGCCGCTGCTCCTCGCGATGGGTGGAAGCCCCGGGAGCCGAGCGCCGCCCAACTCAGTTCAAATTTCATTCAGACTGGATTTGATTGGGGAGCCTAATATGAGGCCTGGGTGAACGACCTCGTAGGCTCTCTCCTCGGCTCGGCTCATCCGGGACCTCGCTCTCCTCGGGCTCCCAATCAGGACGGGTCTTTTCAGGGTCGTCTGTAAGCTCACCAACTCGGCAGTCAGGGGATCTTGATGGCGTAGTAATGTTTTATTATTATTATTATTATTTTTTGTTTTTGTTTCTGCAACCAAGTTCTTGTGTTTGATTTTTTTGAAGTCCTATTCTCTATCGTATTGTAGAATGATTAAAGTTTTTATCTTTTTTAATCTGTATTATTTTCTTTTGCATGAAATTTTACATCTGAGCATATCTGCTTATCTAAAATAATGTTTTTTTGTAATGCAAGACTTCCATGCAACGTAGATTTTTTCCTAAAAAATTACTATTCAGATGATTTGCATTTCTCTCCCTTTTTTTTTGTACGTACTGCTTGTCGTTTTCTTGAAATTCTTTATGGTTCTTTTTCCCGCCGGTTTCCTCCTTGTAATTCTTTTCCTAACGATATTGGACCTTTACAGACTGCAGCACCCCAACATAGTGCAGCTGATGGAGACATACGAGGACCGCGAACACGTGTACCTCATCATCGAGTTGTAAGTACCCAAACGACCAATGCAACCACAGAAAACGGGAGGTGGTGATCGGGAGAGTGATCTCGACGTCGAGCCATTAAAGTGGATTTTTTTTTCATTTTGATGGCTTGAGGGATGGTTTTGGGGGATCCTAAACCTGCTTAGTGAAGACGAGTAACTAGTTTGTTGGTCTGTGGATGGCTGTGGGTCATTTGTTTTTGGTGGTGGGAACGGTGGCGGGACTCTTTGCAAGCCTCTTCTTTTTTGTGACTTTCTCAAAACGCTTGTAAAAAAACTTTGATGCTGCGCGAATCGAGGTCAAATTGCCATTGCCACCTTTACGCTACATTAATGAAACATTTTCTTCCCCCACAGCGTCGCAGTTCCAGATCCCGCGCACCACAGAGGAGGCGCTGGTGTCGCTTCCGTGGCTCTAAGGCTTTCGAAGGGAAATTTGGACAGTAAAATGGAACGCTTACTCAGTGAGGGCTGCGTCCTCATGAAATAATCTTATTTTTAAACCTACGAGGACTGTTTTGAGTGAGATATCATCACCAGCTGACGAGGAGCGTTCCATGTTCCTGTCACAACTTATCCCTGACGATCAAACATTTACAGTCAACCTTTTCTCACGATCACCCGTGGACTCACATTATTTGTTCTTCTGTATTCCAGGCTAACGCATCCGAACATAGTTCAGCTCTTAGAAACGTTTGAAGATAAACACAAAGTCTATTTGGTAATGGAATTGTAAGTAAATGGCGCTGCACACAAAAGCTTGTTAGTGCATCGTGCCGGATATTTTCTTCCAGTCAGTCGTGTTGGCAGCTCTGACTTTATACCCTCAGTTGTGTTGGCAGCTCTGACTTGCCCTTAGCTGCTCTGTTATGATACAGTATGAGACCGTCAGCTAAGGCTCAGCTCCGCCCGCCCACACAAAGGCTACTCGGCCTTACCCACCTTGTTGCTCAGGCTCTATTTGTCCACTGTTCCTGCAAGACCCGGGTCCTCTCTTGTCATGCAGGGATAAGCTTGTCATACACTCGTATCTCGAACACAAAAACAGACACACACAGTACATTGTGATCAGATATATTGCCAGATACCCCGTTACACTGATATATACCCCCCGATATGTGATAACAGCCGGTAAACAAGTATACTCCTGTGATTAAGATATGGTTTTTGTAACACAGCTGAACACCCATAGAAGTAACCAAGCCAATAACAGAATATAACCCTCCGATAAGCACTCCAAACCCGTCACAGAGAAACCCAGTTGTTCTCTTTAAACACGCGATTTTCACCCTTAGAGAACACTCACTGTATTATCAAGTAAATAAAAATGAGCGACTCTGCTGCCCAACACAAGTTATTTTTAAAAAATATTTTGCATATTTTTTTCTCAAATGTCACAATCTACATTATGTAGTGTACCTTCTCTCGAATGCCACGTTCTAAGTTCATACACTGAATACTGAATACTGTTACGCGACTTCAGTAAAGTATACTGTGTTATATTTCTTCACAGTCTTTTATTCCTCTTTAGTACTCACAAGGTTTTTTAATACAAAGTCGTACATAGGCATACGCACGGCACGCACACGCACACGCACACGCACACGCACACGCACACGCACACGCACACGCACACGCACACGCACACGCACACGCACACACACACGCACACGCACACGCACACACACACACACACACACACACACACACACACACACACACACACACACACACACACACACACACACACACACACACACACACACACACATACACATCACACAACACCCAACTCAGCCACACACACCATGCATCAACGTTACAAAAACACAGACCCACCTACACATTGATTCACCCATCGAGCCACATATGCAGACCCATTCACCCAGCCACACCCACACAGACGCCCCCCCCCCCACACACACACACAAGCACACCAACCGACCACCCACACACACGCACACACATCCACCAACCCACATGCACCCACACAAACACACACGCACTCCCCCTCCACCCACCCAGTCACATACACCCATACGCACTTACCCACACACTCCCACGCACACCCACACACTCTCACGCCCAGAGCACACGCCCCTTTCGAGAGCGAGTGGGCGCCTCAAAGGTCGGCCATTCGCATTTTCGAAACCTTTTCGGACGACGCAGCGACACGCCCTTCGAACCCAGATGGAAGGTCATCCGAAGCTTCGAAAAAAAAAGCTCACGCCGTTCTTTGACGCTTAGCTTTTTTTTTTCCTTCTCCTATTTCTCTCTTTTTATCACGTTTGTCTGACTATATTGCATTTTTTGAATATTCTCACACTTTCTTGATTACACGGCTTGTGTTTTTGTGGCATGGAAAGGCACTGCGATGATCAGCTGATTTTAGAAAAACAAATGCATGTCTCGTTTAAACTGCTTTTGGGGATATTTTTTCTTTTATTTTTTAAAAAGATAAATGAATGCAGCGTTTTCTGCTTCCCTTTTTAAATATATGCAATAACCTTACATATACTTGGACGTAAACAGAGGAAATATTGCAGCTTCAGAGGAAATACCGCGCCGCAAGGAAGATAAAACTAAATTGTAAGGGAATTTATGCATTTAATAGCATGTGTTGCAGATGTTCCCTCACAATAAAACGTTTAAACGCATATAAACATATATATATATATATATATATATATATATATATATATATATATTATAATATATATATACACATATACATACATATATATATATAATATATATATATTATATATATATATATATATATATATATATATATATATGTACACATATAATAATATACTGAATATATGTGTATATATATATATATATAAATATATATATATATATATTATATATAATTTATGTATATATATAAATATATGTATATATACACATATACATATATGCATATATATATATATATATATATATATAATATATATATATATATGTGTGTGTGTGTGTGTGTGTGTGTGTGTGTGTGTGTGTGTGTGTGTGTGTGTTGTGTGTGTACACACACGCACACGCATACACACGCGCACACACACACACACACACACACACACACACACACACACACACACACACACACACACACACACACACACACACAACACACACACACACACACACACACACACACACACACAACACACACACACACAGAACACACACACACACACACACACACCACACATATTCACATGTATATATATATACGCCATGATAATACATTTTTGATATGAGTACGACTTTGTCCGATTCCGTTGAATCGGCATCTCGCATGCGTTCAATGCCTAGATTACGGCGCATACTTCCCCCGCATCTTTCCTTATTATCATATCTAGAAGCATTATTTTTCAGAAGATATTTGAAGACCAATATTTGATTACCGGAAGCTAGAAATTAGATTCCCACAATGACTTGGAATCAATGTTTATGTCTCTAAATTCACCCTCTGTATAATTCTAAAACAACAACGTCATGTAAACAGTGACAGTGCTTTTTTACGTTTTCTTTGAGGCCAGCGGTACCAAGGAGAACGGTATACATTTCCTTCGTACATATTCTTTGAACAAGTACAGTGCTAAAGGCGCGATTTGAGTGGAAGTGTAGCTAGATCAGAATGAGAAAGGGTTATATATAAAAAAAGTTATATATTTAATGTATTTGGTAGATATTTCAGCCAGGTAGGGAGAAGTAGGTCTGTGGACGCAAGGAGGATAATGACACGTGTATAGGGAAGGCTTTGGTCAGGGCCATCACGCATGGAGAATTAGGAATGGAGGACCTTAGAAAACACTGTAAGTAAGGGGGCTTCACGGTGAGACGAAGGGGATGGGAATTATGACCTCACAAAGAGAAGTTTATGTGCCGAGGGCCTCACGCAAAAGGATTGGGGGAAGGGACTCGTGATTGAGGGATTGGATAGGGTCTAGTTGCCATGGATACAGCTGAGCTTTGGGCTCTATCTTGGAAACATTTGATTAAAGATAAGCAGTCATGGGGAGATTTATGTTTAGATAAGCAAAGCTGCAGACAGAACTAGACCGTGCATTTTTTTTTTTTTTATAAAAGGAATATATTTATAGAAATGTTTTTTTCCTGACTATACCAATAAGCTCCGAGAACTGCATTTCATATTGAAACGGTTAACTATTAAAAAATATGCAGTAAAAGGGGTCGGATTCCTTAGATATGTATGTATATATATATATATATATATATATATATATATATATATATATATATATATATATATTATATATTTAGTCATCTATATTTGTGTGAGATGACAACATCGACACAGAAGCAGAATTTTTGCCATACATTTCTATTTAATTTCTTGGTCTTTGATGTTGATATGGAGACACACCCTAAATTCTTGATTCGGAAATTTCAGTATAATAGGGAGGAACAAAATATTATTGAACTTTTTTATGTATGATGAACGTATAAGTCAAAAAGTGAGTTTAAGACAATGGCAAAGACAGACACTTTGAAATTATAAAATCAAATTGCGGAATGCTCTATCAAAAAGAAAATGAAACCAGATTCAGGATTTTGTTGTCCAGTGTTTAGGCGATGGGGATCCGACAGGGCTGTCAGTGGTAAAAACAGAGCGGTAACTTTAGAGTCCGCGGTTATTTGTAGGCGGAGGAACTTCTGAGAAAAGAGGCAGTGATATCTTCCATCTTAATAAACCAGGGCCCCAAAAAACCGCCCCTGCCCTGGTACTTATCCCTTGTCAGAACGTGTCGGAAATCCTGGTCGTCAAAATATCCGATGTGAAACGTAAGACGAAAGCTTAAACAAACGGCGTAAAATGTTAGGCAGATAGAATATCATACAAAATACCGTTCTTTAAGGACTTGCCACACGGAAAAAGGGAAAGGGAGGCGAGTAAAGGGAGGGCAAGGGAGAAGCCACACAGAAATTTCGTTACGAGAGAGAGACACTCCACATACACACAGTCACGTACCGCAGTTAGGTTAAGAAATCCTCGGGAGGCGAAGGGTTAAATGAGGAAAGCAGCAGAGGACCGAAGGAGTGAGGCCTCATTCCTAGGGTGCGGAGTGAGGAAAAGTTTCCACTGAGATGTGCTTTAAGGGAGACCACACACGAGTGAGGTTGGGCGGAGGAAACCTCACAGGGGAACGGCCGGGATGCGAGGAGGAAGCGGAGGATCCTGCGGCTCTGGCTTACTTGTGCTGGAGATTTAATTTATGTATATGTGTATATGTAAATATACATGTATATGTGTATATATATAGTATATATACATATATATGTATGTATATGTAAACATATATGTATGTATATGTAAACATATATGTATGTATATACATATACACATACATATACATATACGCATGCATACACATACACATATATACACATAAACACATATACATACAGACACATGCACAACAACACAGGCACAGACACAGACACAGACACAGACACATACACATGCATATACATACTTACGTGCATACATACATAAATCCATCCATACATATGAATTTACATATACATACAAACACATATATAAACACACACATGTATATATGTATATGTATATGCAAATATTCTCGTAATAGAGCGGTTCATCCATAACGTCGACCCCATAAAGAAATAGGAGAAAGCTGAGAAGAGAGTATGCCTCCATCTGAAGAACAAGGATTTTGCTATTTTCTCTCCCAACCTTCTAC